TAGAAATGATATATTTAAAAAAGTATTGTTTACATAAAGATATTAATTTGGCTGGAAATGGTTTGTGGGTCTCTGCTAGTATATATTAAAACATATTTGTGTCAAATCAAAAATGGTGTGAATCAATCTTGTTGGCAAATAGTATAAATTAAATAAAATATCGGCATATTTCTAGACACTAAATCCAGGGCACAAATCAACTATTAAAATTTAAACTATTTAATTTGGCTTTGGATTATTTCAAATTCTCAATACGTAACAGAAAATATTTAATAAAATTGGATAAGATTATTTGTTCAGCTCAAAGAATGAGTATTTGTATTAAATATATTGCCATAACAGTTGTACAGATAGCACACCTCAATAACTTATGTTTACATTATTACAAGTAGGTATTTAAAGATGGCATAATATATTGTAATCTAATAATATCACAAATTTTAAACTTAACATCACAGAAAAAGTAAATTTAACTTGTCATTTTATGTTCCATGGAAAAATTGGGTATGACACATTATTACTATAACCATGCAGAACACAAAATTGTTACTTTTAAATTGACATTTTCATATGTTGACCAGCCAATGAAATTTATACAACAGTATACTGACACACTATACTTTTTTTTTTTTACACCATAAAATTAGCTAAGCCTAAAGTAGTTTTGCTAAATAATGTGAAAAACATTGTGTACATTTTCAAGAATAAAACTTAGATTTAGTGACTAAAAATGACTAAATCACCAGAAAACTTTGTTCATTCAACACAATGTTTCAACTTCAATTTCTTCATAGTAACTTACACAGCTAAGTCAGCTGAGCCAGTGTTCAATCCTCTACCAAGATGAGCTTACATGGAAACTGGAGTTTTTAAATTTTTCTGGAAAGTTCACCATTTTTATTTAAGTGAATGATTCTATACTCCAGTATTTACTACTTTACACTGAAACTCATATATTTCAGCTTATTTTTTATGTAAACTTCAGAATACTTTTTAAGCACAATCTTCATTTTTTCATCCAATCTAGGCTAAACACTAAAGTTATTGAAAAAACAAAGAGCTATCAAAACTGTTTTTCTCACCTCATTCTCATGGCTACTTCCCATCACATAAAAATAGAGGTCAACGTTGCTTCTATAGATACTGGTCATCCCATCAAGCATGATGATCTCAGCTATTCTCAAAAAATATAAAACAATAAAAATCTGAATAACTGTTCCCTAATGAATAGAAAATTTATAAGTAGGTTTGACTTTTTTTTTTTTTCATAAAGTATGTTTAAGATAAAATCTTGGAAAAAAAGTATTATATATTTGGATTAAATAAATAAACCAACATATTCCATAAGAGCTACAATTAACTGCCTCTTCCCTTCATGTGCAATTTAACTCTTCCCTTCTGGTGTATTATAAATAGTGTTTGAATGCCTCTTGTGCTAATGTAACTTATTATCAACCATAATAAGTGTCTTCTTTATAGCTAAACATAAAAATCACACAAATATTAAGCCTTACTACTACTTGCTCACCGTGTTCAAATCACATTTCTTAAGTTTCCTTAACTCTTGTAGCATATGTTTAGACTACTTTGTGAACATTAAATTTGGATACTTACTCCACATACATTATACACATATATATATATATATGTTTGCATATATTTTAATTGGTAAAGATCTAGGCTTCATAGGTTTATCATTATTTTTTTTAAAGTTCTTTTCAGTGTAATATCAAATGAAACACCAATGAAAAGCTGTAAACAAAGAAAAGCTTTTCATTTGTATTTTCTTGCTAAATTGCCAAAATCAAATAGACGCACTTGTTATTATTATGTATTAGAATTCTTTCTACTATTACTATTCTTTTGTTTTTAGTTTACTTCATGTTCAAATAATAATAATAGTAAATCTCTTTTAACAGTAACTAACAAGAGATTTTTAATCAAGGTGCCTAGGCCTTTGTGATAATGGTACACTTCTGTTAGGGTGAAATAAGGGTTAGAATCCCATGAGGAAATCAAGAAAACAAAAAACAAAATCAAAAAACAGTCTCTTTGAAAGAAAATATATAAATAGGTAAGAGTTTAAATTCATTGTATATTATTGTTTGGATTGGCAAAAACAAGTGCTGGTACACATAAAAGTGGGATAAATGGGGGTAAAGAAAAAGTGGAGGCATACACTTACATATATATTTTTGATTATGATATGTAGTGCTGGTATGCAACTCTTTGGAATATAGAAATGCCAGTATTGCATACCAGTGTCCCCCCTTCTAAGTTCCGCGGTCACACAATAATCAATCAAGTGCCGTGCTCTTCATTATTCCAGCCATGCATATCCTCAGTAATGGTGAGGAGTCTCAACACGTTGATGGCCTTAATGACCCTGGTAGTCGATAAGCCTAAAGCCCAAATAACCAATTGGTAGCATTGCAAAGCAGCCTAATACTTCAACAGGGTCTAAAAATATCCACGCCCTAAAAATAAAAAATTGTAGTGCACATCCTCACACTGCCTTGATACTGGTGCACATGGATTGAAAAAATTAGAGGAAACATTGCAGCATACCAGCTCATTTCAAGCACTGCTGTATGCTATTCACTAGTAACATTTTTACATGTTGCAAACTTGCACACTTGTCAAGCTTTTGTGATGTGAGTTTATAAATCATATAAAGTTTTTACTTATACAAAAAGTCATTAACACTACATCACTTAATTTCAAATAGGTTAACTCTTTTATCAAACTATCATTAACATTGCATCACTTGGAAAAGAGTTAACCTATATGAAAAAGTGATGCAGTGTTAATGATAGTTTGACGGTTTCATATAGGTTAACTCTTTTGTCAAACTATCATTAACATTGCATCACTGGGTTTCATATAGGTTAACTCTTTTATCAAACTATTCAATAGTGAATTTTAATTTTTCAATATTTTACATAGTTTGCTATTTTAACCCTTTTGCTATGGGTGGGTAGATTCCACCCAGCCCGTATCCTCCAAAGTAACCATAAAGCACTTATACTGTAACAATTAAAATGTACATGTGTCTTCACGATATTTTGCAATTATCAGAAAATATTATAAGGCATTCACAGACAAAAGATCAGATTATTAAATTAAGTTTTAACATTTTGTAATTAATTATTTGTTCATGCATTTTTTTATTTTTGAATGTTGACTACTCAACATGCAAAGTAATTTTGATTGTAAGATTAAAAAATACTTTTATGCATCAGAAAATTGCCAAATTGTCTGAAATGAAAGAGGCATAATTTATATTTATTTCCTAATTTTTTATGGTGGTTACAAGATTGGTCAAATCTACCAAACCCATACAGATATTCATTGATGAAAATAACAGATAAAATATAAAGTTTTTCTTAAGAAACATTTGATACCTATCTGGACATTACAAAGGTTTT